CAGACTAGCCTGATCTCAGCACATCTCAGAAGCTGAGCAGGCCTGAGTTAGTACTCGGATGGGAGACCCACCAAGGAAGTCCAGGGTGGCTACGCAGAGGCAGGCAAGGGCAAAACCACCTCTGAATGTCTCTTGCCTCGACCTGGAGGTTCCAGCCTAGCCCGGTCTCGTCAGATCTCAGACACTAAGCAGGGTCAGCCCTGGTTAATATTTTGATGGGAAACCCACCAAGGAAGTCCAGGGTGGCTACGCAGAGGCAGGCAAGGACATACCACCTCTGAACGTCTCTTGCCTTGACTTGGACAGCCCAGACTAGCCTGATCTCATCAGATCTCAGAAGCTGAGCAGGCCTGAGTTAGTACTCGGGTGGGAGACCCACCAAGGAAGTCCAGGGTGGCTGTGCAGAGGCAGGCAGTGGCAAGCCACCTCTGAACGTCTCTTGCCTTGACTTGGATGACCCAGGCCAGCCCGATCTCATCAGATCTCGGAAGCTAAGCAGGGTCGGTCCTGGTTAGTACTCGGATGAGAGTCCCACCAAGGAAGTCCAGGGTGGCTGTGCAGAGGCGGGCCATGGCAGGCCACCTCTGAACGTCTCTTGCCTTGAAAACACTATGCGGTTTCCATAAGTCTGTTGCAGCTTGAGGGCACATTCCAATTTGATCCCAGCCCTACACACACAACCGTATTCAGCTAGAATACCCCTCCCAGAGATCTGGCCCGTGTATGAAACTTGACCCTCTCTGGAGAACGGCAAATGCCCCCTTCTGATCTTCCCACCCCAAACATCCGTCTCTTCCTCAGCCTCACGGCAACAGCTGCCTGGATCTTCTCCCTTTCGGCCCATTCTGTTTTCCGTCCCTCCCGCGGCCACGGACCTGCCGCGAGAGCACAGCGGCCAGGAGGCGGGGTCCGTGTTCTGCAATCAGCCAGAGCCCGTTTTAGCCCGGCGATGCACCAGACTCCTATTTTTGCACAAAGTATTCCAACGTCAAAGCATTGCGTTTGCAGGATGGACGAATGCCAGGGCCTCTGCTATTCCCAGTTTAGGATAAGCAAACCTAACGCCAGAGAAGAAGAATGCGAAAAGTGCTGGGAAACTCTTCCTCTGAGGCAAGGGAAAAGCCTTGGAGAAGAGCCTGGCATGCAAAGAAGACCCTTCCCCAAGCAAGAAGAAGA